CTTCTATATGAACGGGCACCGCGTAGCGTGTCCAACCTGTGCTGTACGCCTCCTCAATGGCGGTGTAGGCAGACTGGGTGAGACCGTGGGAGGCAGAGTTATCCGTCGTCTCCTGACTCTCCTCGACATGGCCTGTCATGGGCAAGTTTGGGTCCGGCTGCGAGGCGCTGAGCAAACAAGGAAGCCTTTGCGAGATGCATACGGAGCACACCCATCCGATGTCTGACTTTTATTTTTTTCCTTCTTTCTTATTTCCATCGAGTCGAGACGCGGCATCGTCCCAAGAGAGACATGCAGATGTGCCATGTCGTAGCAGCCAGTGTAGGAACTCTTGGCGAAAGGCGGTCACGAGGATGACGGCTGATGCCTCGTAGAGTCTCGTGAAACCCGTGTCCGAAAATAAGACGCTGAGGAGGACGCGCGGCGTCGGGACGGCGGCCGCGCTGGTTTCAGACGTCGTAGGCTTGCTTCCCCGTCTCTCCCAGAGCACCAGACACTGCGTTGGGGACCTGTTTGCGGCGGCGGACGGCGTGATGCGGAATACTGGACGGGGAGCAGAGATGTGGCATTTCCACAATGGGATCCGTGCCTGGACATGGTGGTTCCTTTTGCCTCGAGCTTCCGAAGGGCCGGGCTGTCTTGTCTCGACGTCGTACCACGTAGTACTCGGGCGTCGTCAGGAGCGCGAGGCTCCAAGACACGAGGGGGTCCAGCATGTTGGGATGCCGCATCCGCATTTCGAGCACCGGGCAGAAGTTGCGTCATGGGGTGGTGTGTGGCAGAAAGATGGGATTCCTCGGCCGCAACCAGAGAGACGCTTTCTGACCACCCCCGGGGGCTCAGGGGACAGACGGTCTTTGGGGGCAACCCGATGGCTTCGCGGCCTGGGAATGGCATGATTGCCCGGACGATTCTTGGGCTGCCGCCACTCCAGCACCGGCGCCGTGTGATCGATGTGCGGGAACGCCGTCGACTTGGCTTCATGCTTGTGTTCTTTTGGCATTGGCATGGTTCGCCCTCGATGGATGCAATGCATGCCATGCCGGGCGGGTGGTGCTGTGGTATGAGACATGCCAGTTTGCATCAGCCTTTTCCTTCTTTGCTTCTTCCTTCTTCCTTCCAATCACGCACGGAGCAGGCAAGGATATCCTTCACGCCGCTCCTGGGAGCGAGTCTCGACGGCCTTGTGATCCCGTGAGGACATTCATGTGTACGAGGGCCTCGTGATGATGATTGATGGCTCTGCTCGAGACGTCCACCCATCCATCCGCCTAAATTGCATCAGAACATGACAACAGACCCGAGTTTGCTCAATTGCTGCCGGGCGCCTACCTTCGAATATGCGCCCCGTAATGTACACGGGGCAGAAATTTAACATTGGGTGCAGAACCAAGAACCAATCTTACCCCGTAGATGCAGAGGGTACATGAAGAGGTGAGTTCTTCGGGACTCTCCAAATCTACATACTCAACCTACATCGCTTGACTGGTTGTGTGAAATTGCGCCATTGTTCGTCATCTTCTTTGCTGATTCCATCATCGCAGACCGGCGCCGTATTTGGTGACCCTGTACGTACCTTCTGCCATTGTTCAAAGACATTAGGAATCCATTTGCCGGCGCGTCTGGTTTCACACCCATGATATTCACGTTGTCGTGTACCTCTCTACTTCTTCTTGTCCGCGTCGCCGGCAACTCCGTCACTGGCACGTACCCTATATGTGTTCGCAGCGCCTTCACGAATCATCACCGTCTGACTTGTGTGTTCTGTTTGACAGGCAAGCATGTCGCTCATGGATATACCGCATTCTTGAACTGGCCTGGGTGACATTTGGAGAACTGCGAAACCAAGTGATAACATGCCATCAGACTGTGGTTTAGGGTATAACAGTAGTCCGGAAAAACTTGTCTTCATCAGAAACCTTGACTTGGGCTCCTTTCGCATAAGACCTATATTACACGGTAATTATGCGGTAGTCGGGCTCCAACTACAAAGTAGGGCATGAGCAATATCAACGATAGTGATGGTAGCATTGGATGCAACGTTTCAAGACCCTACAGGATGCGCCGAGGGTTGACGTGTAAAGTTGAATGTTGGCTCAAGTTCATCCCAACTTGTTTTCGGCCATGGTAAGTTCGAGAGCTTGCCGATTACATGCCTGAGATTTGTTGGCCAGCGTTACTTCCGCTAGATGGGAGAAGATATCTCCCGGTCGTCTGAATCCAAACTACTTTTGGTTGCCCTCTCCCGGCCATCAAAGAGACCCCCTAGTTTAAACCCATTAGCAATATTCATTAGTTCATGTTCGACATCGGTCGGTTGGCCTGAACGGGCACAAGTCCAAGTTTATAGACATAAAGGCTCGTCTTCATGGCGATATGCCAACCGAGAAAAGTGGACAACCGGCCGTAATCCCCACCAGACAAGGGCCGCAAAAAAGTCGACAGCCGATCTGAGAACATCGTAGCTGTCCCGTGGCCCTCGCGGAGCCACAACCTGCCAGTTCACATCCTCTTGTGGTAGTCAGTCCGATCTCAAGGGGCATGCAGAGACGCCGGCCTCACCATCACACATCTCGGAGGAATGACATCCGCGATATTGATCCAAACTTGCTGGCTTTCAGTGCGTTTGCCGCTCGTGGGCCATATTAAGGTTGCGATATCGTATCAAAGCTCTCGTACAGATTCGGCGGATGCCCGTGGAGGCCCGCTGGATGACCGAAGATGACGCGCCGAGTTTCAAATTCTGACGGCAACAATGTTCTGCCACAGTCCAGGGACGAAGCGAAGCAATTGATGCTTCGTGTCTCGATACGCCGTATTTTAGGGCACGCAATCATAGTGGCCTGGTATGCTCGGCCTTGAGTCATCGCGAGCCAAACATGGCCCTAATAATATTTGACCGTTGGTGGGTAAGCAAGCTGGTGGTCGATTTCTGATAAGACGTCCGTCGTAGGGTCCGGCCCGCGCTGCTGGGCTTTTCGGCAAGAGAAGCTAAGCCACCTGGAGCTAAAATACTCATGCGTGATGCTGTTTCCACTCGAAGTGCAGAATACCGTGCAAGCAACAAAATGTTTCGGAAGGCTGGCTGCCTAACACTTAGGCTTGCTGTCTAGGGAGGTGTAGCGCGTCGCGTTGTCGACCTTTGGTCTACTGTACTCGGTATAGTCATGGACGTTATACGACACATGATGAAGCAGCAGAGTTAAGGCAAACTTGATTTCTTCATTTGGGTTTGCTGAGGAGGGGAAAGAAATGATGTGGCGCTTGGATCCATCTAGCTATTGGATGTTGCAGGCCAATAACAAGCAACTGCGTCTAAGCCTGAGCTGCTCGGCAATGTGGTTGCGAGTCTTCGAGACGTCATGGCAGAACTATTGCAAAGCTCGGATTGCGCAGAAGTAGCGCCTGTCGTGGTCCCGGAATCGTATGTAGACGTGGGCCAGGGGCCGCCGAGTGTAGCCATCAACACCATCTTGAGGGTAAGGTAACCTTTGCCATGGCACGGACATTGGATCGGCCGGTCGCGACGGTTGCGAGTCCCGTGATGATTGTATTGTGGTCGGTTGTGAACTTGTGATTGTGACGGCTCCATGCCACCCATCAGTCGCGGTCGGCCCAAACGCGACAGCATCTTGAACGGGCTTCGCCGAGTGGAACTGTTTGGCTAGGACACGTTGCCTCGGGAAGACAGCCGAGCAAGCTCATGATGAGGACGTGAATGTGCACAAGCTCCAACAAGTGCATGGGTCGATGAGCCGAGCTATCGAGCCCGTCCGGCCAGGGCGGAGTCAAGTCTTTCCCGCGTGTGGGGAAGAGAGAAATGAGGGAGCGCGAGCTAGCGAGCTAGCAGGAGCAATTGACCACTGACGAACCTGTCGTCGAACAGGAGTGTGCCTTGGTGCGCTAGCCATTTCTGGCCACCTCGCCAGCCAGCAAGCTCCAGGCATGATGCCGTCTGTCTGGCACCTGGCTGCAATTCTGAGCCTCGGAACGCCACTCGGGTACCTAGGTGCCTTCTATGAAGTAGGCAGGTACTTGGGTAGTGGGTAAGTACCTAGGTACCCAGGTATGGAGCCGCCTGGGTCTAAGTACTGAAGTTCTTGGACTTGGACCGGGGCACCAAAGATCGAGCTGCAACGAGGCGACCCCAGACGACTGTTTTAAGCGTGGCAGAATCCCTACTAAACCCAACGAAGCCTGGGGACAGCAGAACCATCACAAGACAGGTCAAAAATCGGCATGAGCTGGTCAACAAAAGGCTGATGAGCTGTCCTGCCTGCAGTAGCTGGTGAGGCTGGGGACAGTCTGAAGAGTACCAACCTCCTACCCCTCTGGAGGTACCTACCAGGCACCGTAAGTACTTGAGTAAGTACTTACGCAGGAACTTGCCCGCGTCAACCAGTCGAACGGACTCGTCATTTTGTCCACCGGGAGCACTGCCCGGCGAGAGCAGCCGCTCCGGCACAGCAATCCAGGACCTCGGCAGGTACCTCAGTAGGTACCTCAGCAGGCGACTTGGCATGTTACAGCTGTAGGACGGAGTACTCTGTGTACTTGACCTTGTCCGGCACGTCCGCATACCCCTGTCCAAGCCCTCTAAGTACTTAAATACCTAGGTAGGTACTTACCTAGGTACTTGAGTACTTAGGTACCCAAGCTTGCTGGCCTGCAGGAGTCGTCATTATACGCTCGAGTTCCGTGGCTGTCGACCAGTGCACTGCCCGGACGACAAGCCAACTCCTGCACCATCCGCGTCTGAGCTCGAGCCGTCTTAAATTCCTCCTTTGCTCCTCTCTCTCATCTCGTCTCGTCCCATCAACTGTTCGGCTCGTTGTATTTTACGTTTCGAGCCGCCGCCGCCGCCGCCGGGTTCCTTGACGGCGTCTCTTCTTGTCGCGGGTGCCGTCTCTTGAAGCTCTCTCACTTCCTCCAGCTCCTGCTACTCCTCCCATCCCAACCACCTCTCTCCCCTCGCGTTGCCCCCGCGCCTCAGCATCATCATGTCCGACTACACCACGGGCATCATGCCCTTGCAGCCGGTGCATAAGCCACCGTATACCATTGAAGCTCCTGGCTACCAAAAAGTCCCCGGCGAAACAATTCCTCGTCGTCATCCGCGAGCCAAGAACGGCCTCCTCTCACGTCCCGCCGACGACGTCCACAACATCTTCGACATTGTTCGCCACAGTGCCCGTGTCTATCCCAACCACCAGGCTCTGGGTTTTCGCAAGCTTGTAAAGCTTCACCGGGAGACGAAAAAGGTCAAGAAGAATGTGGACGGTGAGGTCCGCGAGGTTGACAAGGAGTGGCAGTTTTTTGAGCTCTCTGGCTACAGCTACGTGACCTACAAGGAGTACGAGACTCAAATCCTCCAGCTTGGCTCTGGACTTCGCAAGCTGGGCCTGACCCCCGAGAACAAGCTTCACTTGTTCGCTAGCACTAGGTACTAATCTACCTTGCCCAGACATTTGCTGCTGCCCTACGCGCCCACCCGCCGCCGCCGACTGACATTTGAAATAGTTTGCCATGGATTTCCATTTCTCACGCCTGCGCGTCACAGTCCATCTCCATTGTCACCGCCTACGACACTCTCGGCGAGAGCGGTGTCGAGCACTCGCTTGTTCAGACCGATGCCTCTGCCATGTTTGTTGACCCGCATCTCTTGAAGACGGCTGCCAACCCCATTAAGAAGTCGGGCGTAAGGACCGTCATCATCAACGAGGATTGCATATTCGCCACCGGTGGTGAGGTCGAGGAGTTCAAGAAGAACAATCCTAATCTCAAAGTGTTGACTTATGAGGAGTTGCGCAAGCTCGGCGAGGCGAACATGGTTGAACCCGTCCCTCCCAAGCCCCAGGATCTCTACTGCATCATGTACACCTCTGGATCGACTGGTCTGCCCAAGGGAGCGTGCCTCACCCATGAGGCCGTCGTTGCTGCTGGTAAGTGAATACAACTACACAATGTCTTTGTCGGTATTTGGAGCTCGAGGGAGGGAAAATAGACGACTAACGTGGCCTGCGTGTAGTTACTGGGTTGCTGACATGTGTCGATGAGTGCATAAGCGACAAGGAGTTCGTACTGGCTTACTTGCCGCTGGCTCACATTTTTGAGATGGTCCTTGAGAACTTGGTTCTATTCATTGGAGGTACCTTGGGTTACGGAAATCCCCGTACGCTCTCCGATGTGTCTGTCAGGAACTGCGCGGGTGACATGCGCGAGTTCCGCCCCACGGCCTTGGTCGGTGTACCCCAGGTCTGGGAGACGGTAAAGAAGGGTGTTATGAGTAAGCTCGGTTCCTCGAGCCCGGTCCTGAAGGGCCTTTTCTGGGGAGCCTACGGCTACAAGTCCTTCATGTCCAGAAATAAGCTGCCCCTGGCAAGCCTTTTTGACGGCATCGTCTTTGGCAAGGTGCGAGAGCTGACAGGTGGCCGTCTTCGATTCACCATGAACGGTGCTAGCGGTATCTCCGACAACACGAAGCAGTTCCTTTCCCTGGTTCTCGCTCCCATGTTGGTCGGTTATGGTCTCACCGAGACTTGTGCCAACGGTGCCTTGGGCTGCCCACTCGAATATTCGCCCGACTCCATCGGCCCTATTCCTGCAGCTATCGACGTCAAGCTCGTTGCCGTTCCGGAGCTCGGGTACTTCACCGATGATGTCAAGGTTCCTCAGGGGGAGATTCTTATGAAGGGATTGCCCATCCTGAAGGAATACTACAACAACCCCGAAGAAACCGCCAAGGCAGTTACCCCGGATGGTTGGTTCAAGACTGGTGATATTGGGGAGTTCGACGCCCATGGCCACTTGCGGGTTATTGACCGGGTGAAGAACTTGGTCAAGATGCACGGCGGTGAGTACATTGCATTGGAGAAGGTTGAGTCGATCTACCGCGGAGCCCAGACCGTCAGCAACGTCATGATTCACGCCGACGCCGATCACTCTCGACCCATCGCTGTCATCATGCCCAACGAGAAGGTTTTAGTCGACAAGGCCAAGGAACTTGGTGTTAACGAGCATGACATGCACACCAGCCCCAAGGTCCGTGATGCTGTTCTCAAGGACCTCCAGGCTGTTGGCAGACGCTCCGGCCTGTCCTCAATGGAGATCGTCTGCGGTGTTGTTCTCACTGACGAGGAGTGGACGCCGCCAAGTGTAAGCTGACCTCGAAGAACTGACGTGGAAGTCCTTTGTGTGTGCTAATAGGATTTTAGGGTCTGGTCACTGCTACACAGAAGCTAAACAGAAGAGTCATTCGTGATCGGTTCAAGAAGGAAATTGAGGAATGTTTGAAAAACGCGTAAATTATGCAATGCGATGCAGTAAAGGGAAGGTTTGAAGCAGGTTGAGCCTATGAGACACGCGAGAGAGCGTTGTGGACGGGGACGGTCGTGCGGGATGTGGAATCGGGACGGGCGTCATGATATGACCCATCAGGGCCGTCACGGAACCGCTTTTAATCTGCGTTTTTATACCACGGTATGGTGTCCTTTTTCTTGCCATCTTCATGTTAGTTATTCACTGCTCCGACTGTACTGTACTGTACTGTATGTATGTACCTCGCGTCGTTGGCTCAAGGGCACATCGAACAATGTAGCAACCATGCCAATGAGGTGGCCTGTACCTCTTTGCAAGACTCGGTGTATTTGCCTCGTATTGATGAGGAACGTCCTGTCTGTGCGGCGCGGGAGCAAGCATTGCAGTTCATAACCAAAGACGTGAGGTCCGGTGATTTGTCGTTTCCTAAAGCAAGGCATGCATGTACACATGTAATTATAACAATCGAAATTGGTAAGGAAAAAAAAATTCCCGATGTCACAGGAAATGCCTCAATGCTATGTTTGCACAGTTTTCTCTCAAGAAATGCCCCAAAGTAAGTGGCCCGACGAAAAAAGACGGGCTGACGCACAAACACGCACGCAATGCTTCCCAACAGCCAGCCTATGCGAAATAACAGTCATCATGATGCAGCTTCCTTTGCCTCTGAGAAGTAAAAAAGAAAAGAATTGTACAATGCTGGACCAACTCCGCTAAACGACATGGATGAGCAAAAAAACAAAATCGCTTCGATCAATCCATTCCATGCTCACCATGATGCATTCCAAAAACAAGGAAAGGGGGCTCAACAGGTATATGGTACCATTATTGTCTCAAACAGCGAAAATGCGCCATCTAAAATAGTCTCTCATAGTTCGTCAGGTAAACTGTTCATCAGTCGCTCTTTCTCCTGAAGAAAGCGAGGTACGGGACTGCATCCGACCCGGATCTGAACACCGTGTTCTGCATGTCCGCAGGTTCCCGGCTGCCAATGCGAACCTTGGTCACGACGCTGTCATTGCAGCAGTGCCAGGCATACGGGTCGTGAGTGCTTGAGTCACGCACATATGCGTAGTAATGTCCACTATCTATACTTCGTCCAGAATGAACAATGACTGCGTAGCACTGATATCTGAAAGGGCCACAGAAGGCTCTATCGTGCGTCGAGGCGCCTTGCCAATCTTCAGTCGAGTTCAAGAAGTACGGTGTAAAGTCGAAGTCATTGAAATCCCAGGTAACTTCCGCGGTTGACTTGACAACACCTCTCCCATTGACTTGGAAACGACGGAAACTGACGCATAAAAGTGGTGGCATACGTGCCAGAGACTCGGAAATCTTGGCGGGCCTTGAAGTTCCGCAGCAGTTGCACCTAAAGTCATCGATTTCGTCGCCGGTATTGGCTTGCCGCAAGGCCTCTGATAGAGTCACGTTGCGGTCGCCAGACACATTGACCCCAAGCGACTCAAACTGCGAGAATGTGTACGTCCGTGTGGCACAGTGATGGCATTTAACAGTGGAGAGCTGAAGTCCGCGCCAGTACTGATCCACAATGGAGTCGTTCAGTCGCTTATGATTCTCCCAGTATCGTTCCGCCGCCTGAACCAGCGGTAGGCCCTGAACACTGGGTTGATCGACTGTGCCTTGTTGGCCTCGTCGAAGGTTCGTCTCGTCGTGAAGCTGATCCATTAAGAAGGACATGAATTCCTGGGCATCTTGTTGGTCTTTTCCACCAAACTTCGTCTTGGGATCGCCGGTAGCGCATAAATGTCTGGAATAATCCTAATTTCACGTTAATGCATACGCCCCCCTGTGATATCACTTGGCTTTGGCAACTTACCATGAGCATCTGCGCCTTCATAGTCTGGAACTTGCCTGAACTCATCCAATAAAAGATATTCGACAGCATCTGAATCATGAGCTGTGGTTGATCCATTTTTTCACCAGACTTCCTGGGCACTTGGTTCTTATATCGCCTTGCCCATTCCGAGTCAGCAATTTCTCTCCCAAAGTTGGGAGATGCAAGCAGAGATTGCAATATGCTGTTTGCATAACACCAGTTGCCGGGATTGTTGAGTCCCGTTTGCACCTTTGCAGGTATTGCTGGTATCTGCTCCGCAACTTCGTGGCTATCATGGCTATCTTCAGACAAGCTGATATGGCTGGGGCGTTGTACTGCGGCTTGGGGCCGAGTTGGGGGGGTGAGCATCTGCGCAGGGGAGCCGAATCCACTCGCAAAGTCGTGCTTGAATTGCTGATCAACACAAACCCCAGATGACATGGACTGCTGCTCTTGTGATACGGGAGGAAATCGCAGAAACTCGTCTTTAGTGCGGGGGAAGGATGGCGGTGCCGCGTCTTTTTCAAGCCCCTTTCGGAACGTCTCGACGTCTTTTTCAGGTAGGGGGTTAAAAACATATTTAGAGCCTCTTCGCTGAATCAACGGATGTCGTTTGCTGGTTCTGGCTTGCATCCTGACATCTGCAGCGGGGGTAGACCGTAGGGAACCAGCTCCGTAGAGGTCAGTCCACGCGTGAATCCCGCCCTTGAGAAGCTTGGGCGAATTTTTTAGTTCCTTATCGTAGCTCAGCTCAACTAAAGCACGGTTTAATGACCAGAGAGCAGCGCCACACGGGTCTCTGTCAGATTTAGGGAAAGAATCCGAATCTTGGTCGTAGAAGACGACCAAGTCGTACGAGTGTCGCTTCTCAAATAGCGTAAGTTCTGCAGGGGGCGAGAGGACGAGCGCTTCCGATATATCGCTGCATGTCACGTCCCCTCGTCCCAAAATGTTTGGTTCGATGCAGATGATCGAGACGGCCATGATATGTCCGTCGTCAAAATCTTCGCGAGGCCTCACGTCAATGTAGAGGATAGATGCCTTGGCTTCTCTAACCGTGATGAGCTCCCTAGGGGTGATCGTATTGCCCTGGGGAATTTTGAGAACTTTCTCCGCCACTTCCGGTGCCTTTGTACTGCTGGGTAGAACGAGAGGAAAGTATTCTTCACTCTGCCGTGGCTGATTCGTACTGGAAGTTCCCAATACAGACGCGGTTGAACCTTTCCGGCTGAAGAGTCCCCGCGGCGTACTTGTCGGCAGTCGCGCAGCCTCTCCAGAAACAGTACCTCGTACCGGGCTGTAAATAGCATCGGGGGGCTTGGGTAGAGCGGTGTCACAACTCAAATTAGTATCTATCTTTGAGGGTGACGGTGGCATTTCTCTCGGGCCGGCTGGCTTCTGAGGAATGATTGGATATGTCTTAATTCGGGGATCTTGCCCAGGTGATGGCTGCGGTCCCCTCAAGTTGGCAAATCGAGCGGCTAAATCCAATGTGACATTATTTGCGGACATGGTGCGATTATGTAGAGGAGGAATGGCGTTGCCATGAAGAGCCGCAGGCTTTGGGTTCGTGGTCGGTTTTGACTTGGAGGGTTGGCCACCAGTCGGCGGTTGGGGTACATGCCCGTGTGGAAGGTTCTGCTGCCGCCGCCATTCCTCTTCTTTTTGAATTGGCCGAACCTCAGTGTTGCTTGTGTTGGGCAGAAGGTTCCTTGATAGTCCGTTTGCCGTGGTGACAACGAGCGAACTTTGAGCCCCGGGTTGGACACCAGTCCTTCTGTTGTCGGCGATGATGTCTTGCTTGATCTGATTGTATATTTCGCTTTGACGATTGATCTTGGATAAAAGGGCTTTGTGGAGTAAAGAAGCGTCCCACTGTTGCGATGTCATGTCAGGGTAATCTGGGTGTCTTCGGATAACGTCAACGGCGATGACAGAGGCCCTGACATAGTCCTTCAAAGCAATGGCGGGGCGATTGAAATCACGATGCAATTCGGATTGGCGAAAGCAGCTTTCCGCCTGCTCCAAAAGCTTCTTAATAGACTGGTTCGAATTTATATCTCTCGGGACAGAGACAACGTCGTTGATGTGCGGAAAGGGAGCGGCTGAAGGTTGAGGAAGACGGGAGGAGGCTCCATTCCTGGCATGAAAGCCTCCAACAGGCATACTCGGCCTAGAGTTGGTGTTTGCGGCCATGGATAATCTGTCCGCAACAGATGACTGAATCTTAGCACACGCAGGCCGGAAATAGCTCAGACCTCATCAGCACGGGGCTTTGACGCAACTGTGGTCGGCGTGGTCCTTCATGTCTCGGCTTGACAAGCTGACGGGCTATCCTTGCAGGGGTTGCTGGAGCGATGATGGGAACCGGACTTCATGTCTCGGCTTGACAAGCTGACGGGCTATCCTTGCAGGGTTTGCTGGAGCGATGATGGGAACCGGCACCCTTTTGACCCGGAGACGCAGTCCTTGCTTTCTTTTCAAGTCGTAGCTCGGTCGAAGTCGAGTATACGGACGTGAGGTCAAAAAGATGCGCAATCGGTGGGAGAGTGATAAGCAATACGCATCCACCGATCTCCTCTTGAGGACACAGGAGACTTGGTGGGCTTCAACAGCGTCTGGTTAAAGCAAAACGTCTGCGTTTTCTTCTGCTTGTCTCTAAATTGCCGTCGAAGGCACCGGTCAGGGAGCAAGATGCGCGTGTCGAAGGCTGTCGAAAGCTGGAAGAATTTGGCTGGAGGAGTTGACGTGTGCGCGTGAAGCATGGAGAAGAGCAGTGACTTGCCAGCTGGATTTCCATGTTCCATGTGCGCGGCCCCGCAGCCACGGAAAGCAAGGTACCTGGGTACCCACGCCAAGGGCCGTACTTGAGCATGTTCCCAGCCTTGAGGCCGCTGACAGCAAGTCGGCAGGAGGCATGCTGTCCACTAGTGGCCTGAGCCACAGCGCTGACGTTGGCTTGAGAGCCCCGAGTGCTGGCACATGCAGGCGAGTCACGACCAGTCGCGAGAAGCCCGACTCACGCTTTCACAGATGCCTGGAAAAGAGGCTCTTCCAACCAGCGGCTGCGATGGTAATCGTAGTCGTCATCTACCCGTCGACGTCGATCGATGGGGTCTTCAAGTGTCAAAAGGTTGATACGTCAAATGTTCTGTCGACTGGTGGTCCATGTCTGCTCGTCGTGAGCTCCACATGACTAATAAATTATAAGGCGGTAACTACCCGGTCCGCCAACGGCGAACGGAACTAGCTTCGGCACCACGCATTGCTCATCCATCGTCGTCTTCGGGACAAATACGACCCATCATCAACTTTCGCATTCCCACACGGTTTCTGTAGCTGCCGTCCCTTCGTCACCCGTCGCCCGTCGCCCGTCGCCCTTTCTCTGACGAAACCGACGTCCGACCTCGTCCGGATACGCCGACATCGCTCCCCCCTCTCGGGTCCATCCCCAGGCCCCAAGCTTGCCCGTCGTCACCATGATGAGCTGGTGGTCATCCTCGGCCAACACGGCCCTGGATGAGCAAATCGAGAAGGCCACGAGCAGCAGCTTGTGAGTATTGTCACGTACACGCCTGTGGTTCGCAGGTACTCGGCGTGTCGCTCAGCTTTTGTTGACCATGACGACAGGGAGGACATCGCCTTGAACCTTGAAGTCTCCGACATCATCAGATCCAAGACGGTGGCGCCCAAAGAGGCCATGCGGTCTCTCAAGAAGCGAATTGGAAACAAGAATCCAAACACCCAACTGAGCGCTTTGAATGTATGCTGCAGCCGCCTCGTCGCCGCCTCCTGTAACTGTGCACTCGCTGACATGTAAACTCCAACAGCTCACAGATACGTGTGTCAAAAATGGCGGATCGCATTTTCTTGTCGAGGTGGCCTCGCGCGAGTTTATGGACAACCTGGTATCACTTTTGCAGGCTTCCGGAGCTGTAGCGGTAAACGCCGACGTCAAGGCCAAGATTCTCGAACTTGTGCAGCAATGGGCAGCAGCCACGGAAGGCAGACACGATCTGTCCTATATTAACGAGGTCTACAATTCATTACAACGAGAGGGGTATCGATTCCCTCCCCGAGTGACGGTCGCCAGTAGCATGATTGACAGCAGTGCGGTATGATGCCAGAGCTGGCCTGATTGTGTGCAGCGCTCCCCACCAGTTACTAACCCATGTCATCTGGTGTAGCCTCCCGAATGGGCCGATTCCGATGTCTGCATGCGCTGCCGAACTCCCTTTACGTTTACGAATCGAAAACATCATTGCAGGAATTGTGGCAACTGCTTCGATCAGCAATGCTCGAGCAAGACGATCCCACTCCCACATCTGGGCATCCACGCAGCCGTTCGAGTTGATGACGGCTGTTATGCGAAGCTGACGGGCAAGGGCTACAAGGACCTTGGTCCGCCGGATCGATCACCTACATACCCACACAAGACTCGGAGTACATCGGCCATGCAGCCTCGGAATGCGCGTGTGGATGATGGTTTCGACGAAGACCTGAAGAAGGCACTCGCAATGAGCTTGGAGGATGTCAAAGCCAGTCATAGAGGCTATGCGGAACCAGCAACAACTAAGCCCAAGGCAACAAAGAACTCGTCAAAGGTGGAGGAAGAGGAGGATGCTGACTTGAAAGCCGCGATTGCTGCATCTCTGGCCGACATGGAGGAGCAGAAGAAGAGGCATGCCGCTGCGCTCAAGGAGCAAACATCGAACCCTCCCACCGGTCCCTCCTCGGCGCCGTTCGTTCTCCCAAAAAACGACTATGAATTAACTCCTGTCGAAGCCGAGAACATCAACCTCTTCGCCACACTGGTTGACCGTCTCCAAACCCAACCACCAGGCACGATACTACGCGAGCCGCAGATTCAGGAGCTCTATGACAGTATTGGCACGTTACGTCCCAAGCTGGCAAGAACGTATGGTGAAACTATGAGCAAGCACGGTAAGTTTGTACGCTGTCCTTTTCGGCAAGGGTTCGGCCCAATTAACTTGAGAGCTGTAGATACACTACTTGACCTACACGCCAAGCTCTCCACTGTGGTTCGCTATTACGATCGTATGCTGGAAGAGCGCCTTTCCAAAGCCTATAGTCAGCAGAATCTAGGTGGCTACAGTCTACCGCCTGCTCGCCAGCCCACAGGCGCATACATTTCCGTGCCGTCAGGATCTCACGCCAATCTTGGTGGTGCCGAAAGCTTCTACGCCGGGCGAGCGCCCCCTCAATCGTATCAACAACAGCAAACTCCGTCACACACAACTCCTCAGCCGCAATTCGCGGCCTATAACCAGTCTTCAGAGCCGCCACATCCCGGCCAATATGGCCCGCCCCAGAGAACGAACAGTTGGCAAGCACGGGCTCCCTCTGTCCCTCAAGACCCCTACCATCCGCAGCAGACGCCTCTGCCAGAACCAGCGCAAAGTATACAAACGCCCCAGCAAGCTCCCGCCTCACCATCGACAGAACGTCGATCCTCGTACTATTTCGGCTCTCAGCAACAGCAGCCAGTCCAAGTCCCATCTGGCCGGTCTGCACCACCTGGACCAGCTCAGGATTCAGCTCCGTCGCCATATCCTAGTCTGCAGCAGTCCATACAATATCAGCAGCCTGCTTCCACTGCCGCACCCGAACGACCAACACCAATACAGCCCCATGCTCAGCCAGCCCACGTGGATCGTCAGCTTTCCCAGCCCCAGTCTCAACCGCCTAGCCAGCAGGCTTTGGGCTCTCAGCAGCGACAGCCCACGCCGCAACAACAGCCAACCCAGCAGCAGTTCTGGCATCAACCGACTGCTCACCAGCCCCCGGAGCAAATGGCTCAACAACCGCCAGCGCCTCCTCAATCATGGGTTTATGCTGGATACACGCAGTCCATTTTCCCATCGGTACCACAACATGAACCCACGAAGAAACCAGTACAGGAGGAAGCGCTAATTGAGTTGTGAATTCTGTGCCCCGTGTGTTCATTTGACTTTTGAGTTGGACGGGACGTCACAAGGGGAAATTGCGAAGCTGCGGCCAGGCGTTACGTGTTTCTGGACGACCTTGTTACACAGCAAATCCTTTGAGAAATGAAATTGGTACCGTAACAAAGCAGACCCCAACGTGGTGAATGGGAATTTCTGGAGGCAGGTTGGTCGGCGTTAATTTTTTTTTTTTTTTGATTGATGATACCAAAAGTTGGACGTGTTGTATGTAATACTAGACGTGCCCACGTCTTCTAGAGGGTACTTACTCATCAATTGATAATCCTATTCCTCGAGCATTGTGAGACATGATTGAAAATATTAGCAATCGCCATGCCTGGATGATAATACGAGTTGCTCCCTCCGACAACACCGCCCGTAAATTGTAGACCCATCGCCGCACCCTCACATGGGCAAATAATAATAAGGTTAAATCAATCGTCTCAATTGGTCAGCAGTGTGCAGCATCTCATCATCCAAGACCAAATTTAGTCAACTGTCCAATTTTTGTTTCGAGCAAAAAACGCCTCCCTTCCCTCTCTTTCTCTTTTTCTCTTGGGTCAGCGTCTCCTAGCCTCCACACAATTCGGCTCGTATACACGAATCATGTCCAGAACGGCCAGTGCCAAAGGTCCGGACGCTCTTCGCCAGCTTTGCCTGGAGTAGAAGCTCCGCCCGTTAACTACGGGCTTGTGGTTCGTGCCGTGAGTCCCCCCCCTTCCCCCAACCCTCCGGTTTCGCATTCCGGACCACAGGACTCCGGGGACGCTCCACACGTGCCACATCGCCAGTGCTCGGGCAGCGTGTTGTTTGGATTCTGCCGGAACTAAGCCCCGATGTCATTTATTATGGCGGCTAGTGGTTGTCTTCCGCGGCCGCTCGCGATGGTCGGTGGCTTGTGAGTCAAGAGTCGGTCAAAACGGCCGTGTTGGTTTGAAAACGCCCGCATCGTCAGTCGCTTCCCCCCACTCTTCCCCTTTTTTTTTTTTTTTTTTTTTTTTTTTTTTTTTTTTTTTTTTTGGTATTATTGTCCTCGTGGAGTCGGCTTCGGCTTTCACACAGTCAGTCCATCTTCACCAGGAGGACCTGGGGTGTAGTTTCGACTGGGCTTCGAATTCTGCATTGCACACCCACACGCGTCCCGTCATGCCTCCCACGGTGCATCTCGTCCGCCACGCCGAGGGCTTCCACAACCTGTCTGTGGAAAATGAATCCATGCGAGACCCGGACCTGACTCCCCTCGGCGAACAGCAGTGCGCCGACCTGCGCTCTGCGTTCCCGTCGCACGCGAGGCTCACTGCGCTCGTGGCCTCGCCGCTCCGGAGAACCATCAAGACGTGCGACTTGGCCTTTGGGGGCCACGACAAGCTGTACCCCATTGTCCTGCTCGATACGCTGCAGGAGGTCTCTGATGCGCCGTGCGACACGGGGTCCAGCAAGGACGCGCTGCGAGCAGAGTTTGGCGACAAGATTGATTTGCAGCGCGTGAGGGGCTCGTGGACGCAAAAGGGCGACGGGAGTCCGTTTGAGCCGACCATGGAGGCGCTCATGGCGAGGGCCAAGAGCGCGAGGAGGGCGCTGAGGGAGATTGCTGGCGATGCCGACGGCGAGGTTGCCGTCGTCAGCCATGGCGGGTTTCTGCACTTTCTGACGGATGATTGGGATGGCGTGCCTATCGACAGCGGTAAGTCCAGCGAGTAGAGACTCTGCTCGCGTGCCGTGCCGTTCTTGCGTTGTCGGGGGCCGCGGAACAGAGGCTGATATCAAGGTACCCTAGCCACCGCGTGGTCGAATTGCATGTGTCGTTCGTACCAGTTCGCCGGGTCACCGGATGACGACGGCGACGTCAGACTCGTCGAGACAAAGGAGAGCTGGAAACGGAGGCAGCCTGCGTCGAGACAGCCGCTTACGGCGACGGAGCAGAGGGAAATTCGGGCCGTTGTTCAGAAGCGCTTGGTGCCGCATCTGAACATCAAGGCGTGAACATTTTTTTCCAGCTGAGCCTATGAAAAGGAGTGAGTAGACTTGTCTGGATAAGCATGACGTGGCTGGGACTGTGTTTTGTCCTGGATGCTTGTACCGCAAGGTCGGCGTCGTGGTGAATTTCGATGAGTTGGTAGATTAAAGGCTGGAGCAAATGCTAGAGCTACCATGGCTGCTATGACGACCCCATTAAACAGCTCAAGATAGGATGCAGTTCCAAGATTTCCTTATTTTTCATGGTCCATGCCGACAGAGTATTGCCACAAGACTAGCTGTGCTCTCATTCACCTTCCCCTGAGCATTGCAGTCTTTACATGATACAGTCCAGATCATTTCGTTCTAAATGATCCAGTATTTCCCTTATTTCCTTCCATGTGCTGGGCCGGATTTCCAGCATTCGAAGAGCTATCCCGGACTCTGTCTTGGGAGACGGCTCTAATTTGCAGCGACAGAAACACTTGTGTCCAGCTCGGTTGGGTTCGAGAAACTCTCTGGCCGCATAATCAATAGGACTCCCTTGTTCCTAGCCTAGTAGAGCTCCTGTGAGGTACGGTGGCGACTCTGACAATAGGTCTCGTAGCTGGAAGTATTGTCTTCGAAAGAAGTTCTCCCGACTAGAGTACAGCACGCGGGCAAAGACATTATACACAGCGTGCGGTTGGCGCTGTACCATGGCTGCCTTGGACTCTGTGATCTCACTAAGTCGGAAACATGTGCGAGATGGGTTAAACATGCGCATGTTGACTGGGCAAGCAGTCCATGAGGCCTGTGGCAGGGAGGCGGACGGTTGCGGCGAGGGAAGAGAATGGATGCAGTGAAGTTTTGAAGGAGGCATGTGGTCAACTTGGCGCTCACCGTAGATGCCACCTCCTTCCTGCCGAGACTTGGAAGCCTGCTGACGAATGTCTTCCCAATCAACCGTTTCTGTAGACGGAATACTAGTAGAGCTGCCGATTGTCGCTCTGCTTTGATTGGTTTGTGGAGAGGAGAACTGCAGGTCGGGGTCATAGTCTTCGGCAAATTTTGACTCGATGTCAAAGGCCCGAACTACACTTGAGGGAGGGTTTTCCCCTACACTCGTGTCCATCTTTTGCTCTAAGAGAGCCTCAAATTCGGCATCGTCGGTGTCATCAAACTGAAATTCTTCAAGAGCAACAGAGTTTGACGATGCTATCTGATTCTTCTCCAGCGTCTGCATCTCGTCGATCATTGCTAGCTCAAGTTCGAAGCCCATGTAATTGTAGTCATCTGAGACATGGTTAGTTCCCGCCCTAAGACTGTTTTATCCTCACTCACCTGAGGAGCAGAACTCTAGCTGGCTTGGTGGCTCAGACACCTCCATAGCGGATTTGCAAGACTTGTTAATCCTCTCTAATGACGGTACAATTTCTCCCAAGTCAGACTGTCTTCTCGATATGCAGCTCGTAGAGTTCAGTCTCGCCCTGCGATGGGACAGATCCTCCACAGGCGAGCTGACTCTTCTCTTGCCGCAGTTAGCAGACGGCTGTGTGTCCATGGTGGTTGCGTGACAAGTTACTATGATCTTGACGGTCCCCAAGAATTTCCACGGCAATGGAAAATAAATTGAAAAATTGCTTTTATCGTTCTGCTGGGCTTTCGAGTTGGTCCGTGGATTACGTACGTTGGGGAGAAGGTGGGTGGCTCCTTCCATCTTCATTGGAAGTGCAGAAATCACGCCATTATTAGAGTCAACAAAAAGGCAGGACCTGATAGGATAGGAGGCAAAGCTGCAAAGTGCTGGACACAAAACCTATTGCCGTTCTCATCGGAATAATATCTTCTCAGACTTGACCAGCTCCCCAGTAACCGTGTTCGAACCTCTACCAAGCAGCCACAAGCGTCGGTGACGAACCCCGTGCCGAACCGAGACGCTCGTCGCAATGGAGTTCCAAGGCAGAGATCGGCGTCTGATTAGCCAGGGACGGGCAACGTGGTTTCACGACTGAGTTTTGACAAGTTGCCACAACTTTAGCAACCCCAATGACGTTTTCTCCCATCCCATCTCCTCCACCAATGGGACTTCATAGGCTCTACCGACGGCACATGTCACCGGGCTCCGGCAACATGGCGGGTCCGCCAACAATGACAAAGCTGGCTCAGTCAACAGGCGTCGCGGAAATACCGCCACGGTCCAGCCTATTGCGACCCAAGACCATGTCAAATTTCTCCTCTCATTCGCTTTTGGGGCGGGCGAGCCGAGGACTAACTTTTTCCCGGGGTACAGAACCTAGGCAAGCATCTTCTTTCTTCTGATTTCCAGAAAAGTAGGATTTGCACGAAATCATTAATATGGATGATGCGCCTAAGCCTAAGAGACCCCGGGCTAGGGATGCTGAAGAGACCTTTCTTGGTAGCATTGATCAGGGCACTACGTCAACAAGATTTGTCATTTTCAATGCGAATGGCGAGCCCGTCGCGCTTCATCAGATGGGCTTGAGCAATGTGCACCCTGAGTCAGGGTATGGCTTGCTCCAAGGTGCTCCTCTCCCTTCTATGCCACTAACGTCGGCCCCAGATGGCACGAACATGACCCTCTCGAACTACTCGAGACTGTAGAAACTTGCATCAAAGAAGCCGCCAAGAAATTTACCGATAAAGGCTTCGATATTGCCAAAATAAACGCCATTGGAGTTACAAATCAGCGCGAAACTACGGTTCTCTGGAACAAGAATACCGGAGAGCCGCTCTACAACGCCATTGTTTGGCCAGATACTCGGACCAAGGCTCTTGTCCGGGAGTTAAAAGTCAAGGAAGGCTCCGACAAGCTCCTCGACTTATGCGGTCTTCCTTTGTCCACTTACCCATCCAGCGTTAAGCTCCTATGGCTTCTGCAAAATAACGAGGCTGTCAAGGCAGCCTACGACGAGCGTTGTCTTGCATTTGGCACCGTTGACACTTGGTTGATATTCAGACTCAACGGCGGTGTTGACAGACAGGGCGGTCCCATCTTTGTCACGGATCCAACAAACGCCAGTCGTACCATGTTCATGAACCTCAGGACCCTCAAATACGATGATCAACTGCTCGGCTTCTTTGACATTGACCGCCAAAAAATCTCTCTGCCCGAAATCGTGCCTTCATCCCACCCCACGGCCTTCGGCTCATTATCCCGCGGTCCTCTGCAGGGCGTTCGTATCGCCGGATGTCTAGGCGATCAGTCATCCGCGCTCGTAGGCCAACTGGGCTTCAAACCAGGCCAGGCAAAGAATACCTACGGCACGGGCTGCTTCCTGCTTTACAACGTAGGCACAGCTCCCGTCATCTCCAAGGGCGGCTTACTGGCGACAGTAGCATACGACTTTGGCGACGGCAGCCCCGTCTACGCACTCGAAGGAAGCATCGCCGTCGCAGGATCCGGCGTCACCTTCCTATTGAATAATCTCGGCCTCATTGAGAGCTCCAAAGCCATAGATGAAGTGGCCCTCTCTGTCCCTGACAACGGCGGAGTCTACTTTGTCACAGCATTCAGCGGCCTCTTTGCCCCTTACTGGATTGACGACGCCAAAGGTACCATCTGTGAGTTTTTTGCGTGATCCCAACGCCCGCCCGCCCCTTCTCAACTCTTCCCCTTTGCTTTATAAAATCTTCCTGCTGAGGTGGCAAAAAGTCGGTCTCACGGCACACTCACAAAAGGGCCACATTGCGCGCGCCACCCTGGAAGCTGCGTGCCATCAGACATCCGCCATACTAGATGCAATGGCCAAAGACTCTGGACGCGCCCTCTCCTCCCTCGCCGTCGACGGCGGGCTATCCAATTCCGATCTCTGTATGCAGACGCAGGCCGACTTGAGTGGGATCAGAGTCGATCGCCCGGCTATGCGAGAAACTACAGCACTAGGCGCAGCGATTGCCGCTGGACTGGCCACGGGCATCTGGTCAAGCATCGATGATTTGAAGGATATCAATTCCACCAATCGAACCATTTTTGAACCCAGGATTGGCAAAGAGAAGAGGACGGCGTCAAGAAAAATGTGGGAAAGAGCCGTGGAAATGTGTCGGGGTTGGATAAGGGATGATTAGAAGAGGACGTGCGGCTTGAGATGGCGTAGTATTGATGGCATTGACTTGGACATGATACAAGACGAGGTTTCTCAACGGCAGCTGCTTCGAGGAAAATGGACGGCACCAGAAGATATATTTCATATGAGAAGTGATGAGGAATGAAGGCGTAAATGACCAAGGACTCAGGCGTGTGTGCGCATCAAGGCACCAAAGCTGCGAGCAGGTTTCGCCGTTATTAAGCTCTCACAGTCTACCCCGGATTTTTTTTTGTCTTAAATGCCCTTGTTGTACCATGCCATGCTCCGTAGCATCGGAACTCTTTCACTCATCCAGATGCAATGCCTGCGTACCTGCATGCCAAGCTTGCCTACTTTCCATTCCATGACGCCAATTATTCGAGTAGACCAGAACAAAGAGAGGTTCACTCATCAGAAATTAAAGCTCGAACAGAAAAGCATGACGAGGGTGAAATAAACAAAGAACGCAAAGGTATAGTATGGTTGACCAAACGCGGAAGGCTGATATTGAAAAGGTTTGGTGAGACTGTCCTTCCCGACAGACGCTGATAGCTCACAACATGAATCGAGAAGATGAAGGAACAAGAAGAGTGGTGAGTTTTGCAAGATACATGTTTCTGGCGGCGATATGGCTGTGCCAATGTCCAATTCACATGATGATGGCAGGCACATCGACGTTGGTCTTGATTGACTTGTGAGGCAAGACGCAGCCACCGTTGACATAGATTTCGTCGCCAATGGTAACGTCGTCACCGAGGACGGTGACATTCTCCAGGCGAGCCCAACGGCCGACAGTGCTATTCCAGCCGACAATGGTGGACTTGACCCAAGCATGATCTCTGACCTTGGATCGACGCAGCAGCACACAACGCTGCAGGCGGACCCCGTCGCCAACAACGACGTCGGGTCCGATGGTAACGTTGGGGCCTATTCTGCAATTCTTCCCGATCTTGGCAGAAGGGTCAATGAGAACATTTCCGCCGTGGACAAAGGGCTCCGTAGGAGGTGTCAGGGTCTTGCAGCCGCGCTTGGTTAGAGACGACAGGTATAGGCAGGTTCCGCTCAGGAAATCCTTGGGCTGGCCAACGTCCATCCAGAATCCCTCCAGGTCAAAGGAGTGCAACTGGTTGTCCTTGACCATGCTGGGGAAGGTCTCTTTCTCGATGGAAGTGGGGCGAAGTTCGATGCGTTTGAGAACGGATGTGTTGAAGATGTAAATGCCGGCGTTGATACGGTTGCCAACATATTGAACTGGCTTTTCGACAAATCGGTCGATGCGGGAGGGGTGATTGGGCTTGTGAACGACAACGCCGTACTTTGAAGGTTCCTCGACCTTGGTGACAACAATGGTACCCTCGTCGCCGTGGTTTTTGTGAAACTGCAGCAAGTCCTTCAAGGGGTATTCGCATATGACATCCGAGTTGAGGACAAAAAAGGGAGAATCGTCCTTGAGCAAGATCTTCTCGGCTAGCTTCAGGGGTCCGGCGGTGTCGAGGGGCTCGGACTCGACGGAAAACTCAATGTTGATGTCGTACTTTTCCTCGTACTACGAGCACAATCTGTCAGTACTTCCACCGACTCCAAGACGCCGTTGGAGTCACTCTTCGATTTAGAGCGTGTTGCGACGTACCTCTTGCAGGAACTTCTCCATAACTTCAGGTCGGTAGTTCACGGCAAGAACAATGTCTTTGACGCCGGCAGCAACGAGAGCTTCAATCTGATGGACAATCATGGGCTTGTTGCCAAACTCGACGAGAGGCTTAGGGAGGGTGAGAGTCTAGATGCAGTAGGCAGGATCCGTGGTCAGTCAGGCATACCGACAATTCAGCCTGCACCTGGCGTGTTTCCTCGAGCTGGGCTCAAATATCGCAACTTGGCGGTACAACCGTCTTCTTCTCTCGGACGGGGGGGATTCGAGCAAGGAGTACATACGAGAGGCCGGAGGCGAGTGCCAAAACCACCGACGAGAATAAGCCCTGATAACCATGTCAGTCCTACTGTTGGCGAGCGAGTGAGGAGATATGGCAGTCTCGTTGTGAAAGGGTTTACCTTTCATGGCTGCAGCTGTTGCGCAAAAGAGCGTCGAAGCTTGCTGTGGAGAAATTGACGTTATACAGAGAGCTACACTGGCTGCGTGACGATGCGGGTGACGAAGGGAGCGTCGCGGCAATGGGGTCGAGAAATGAAGCGGACTCGACGACGAGTTCAAGTGAAGAGACTGCGATGACGGGTGCAAGGCAGTGTAAATACAGAGACGGCGGCTTGACTGGATGAGTGAGCGAAAGCGAAGCAGATGGATGAATTGAGAACGAGAGGTCAAGGAGTCGAGAAGCCAAGACGGGACGAGGGATCGTGTGGTGGTCAACAAGGGTAAAAAAGTGTGGATGAATGATGAGCGGATGGATGGGTGGGGCGAGTCAATCGAGGTGTGCAGACAAATGTGGGGCGGAACGTGGTCCGACGACTTGTCCGTGCTAGTGGCCTGAACCCACCAACCCAGCCTGAGCTGCAGTGCTGAGTGCTGATTGATCATTGCTGAGTGCTGAGTGCTGAGTGCCAGACACGGAAGTTCCGGGTCTGGTTCACCATTCAGAATGCCCAGATGTCAAACGTTCACGTGCCAGAGCGGTTCCATGTCGCTCGTCGCTTGGCGGTTGCGCGGTTCGTCCTTCAAATTAGTTTACCGATCCGTCTCCAAGCCGCACGGCTTGTCCGCCAGTGGTGTGGTCGTGCTCCCACCACGCGCTCGTATCCCGCAGCCGGTGAGGGTGAGGCCAGTCGACGAGGCGAAGCCACAATCTAGATGCGGCACGTCGACAGCGTGCGGGCGGGCATGCGGGCATGCGAACGTTGCCCCTCGCGCTCACTCATCCCAGCAAGCGTACGCATACGTCGTTTTGACCTTTGTGCCCCGGACGACCTCATACGCGCCGCACAGAGGGCACCGAAAACAACAGCCTGTGAGACATCCAGTCGGTCCGCCGCCCACGTCACGGCAGACGGGAACCGCCCAGGATCTGCGACCGGGTTGGCTCGATGCGGCACGAGGGACTGGACGACGGCACAACCGACGTGGTCTGGCACTCGAGGCCTAGCCCTTTTGGTCATTGAGGTTGAAAACAGGCGACGTGGACATGGGGTGAGCGTCACTAATGCATCGCGGACACACGGCCCGCCGGGCCACGATGCACTTCGGAAAGGCGTCAAAGACCTTGGTGCGGAAGAGTTGCCTCCGTGCTCGACGGCAGCTTCTCATGCGACTCGCGAGCACCTATTGCCAGTGCAAGCCGCTCAACATAATAAGCATCTTGTGCAAAGCACGCGGCCCGCAGATGCTTTCAATTTATTTAACCATCTAAATTTATACTTACTCAAGTACGGAGTAAGTAGGTACCAATCCTGGCCCCAGAGGGACGGCATTCGAGTGGTGCCAAGGGGCCCGTGCACCTAGGAATTACACACTCTAACCCCTGTTTTCTTAACCACCCGTGACCTGACAGGGGCTTGCAGCTGTGAGGTAATCACTAACAGTTGTAAAAGTGGTCTGTATGTAAACGCACAAAGAAAAAAAAATTCAGCACAAGAAAAAGAGGTTATAATTTTTATCCTTTTTAGCTGCTTTTCTAGAAAGAGGAAAATCTAGTAATTAGTAAAGTTAAATTAGTAAGGAAATATTATATAAATACTACTAGCTATGTTATTATTACTATACTTTTCCCATAGATTTTACACTTAGTTATAAGATAAGTGTCAAGGACTGGCCTTACAGGCAACTGCGTGTAAGCGTAACTAGTAACTATAAACTTAGAGAGTGAAGGAAGAAAAGGAGAAGTTCCCTATCCCCCCTTTTCACGCTATTATATATATATAGGTCCTAACGCACATCCAAAAAGTATCTAATAAGGCACTCATACAGTGTATTATGTATGCTTAAGCTTATAGCGAGTCTATTACAATAGTTAGATATTTTAGGCTTACTTTACTAGCATAAAAATAAGTATATACTTAATATTAAATAAGAAATAGAGTATAATAATAGTAGAGTTATACTTACAGTAAATTTTACTGCTATTATACAACTTCTAGCTTTAGAACTTAACGTTTAAGCTCCAGCAAGATAATACTCCTATATATACTGCTAAATATACCTCTAAAATTATCACCACGATATTGAGTAGCAGTAAATTTATTATATAGTGCTATAGTCTAAGCTATGCTCAACCTTAACAACAACGCGATGTAGTGGGACATAGCCTGTGACCTATATAGTGCCAGATTAAGCGAGCTTAGGGCAGCTTGTTCATTGCGTACTCTTTTGGCTCAATGGTCGGCGGAGCCAAGAGGTCCGGCAAACCACCGGGATGACTGCGGCTGGCACCCGCTATGGCCCAATAGGGCTAGTCCATCACAAATAGCTGCTCAATAGCGCTAATTTCAACCCTATTAAGAATATATAGAGCTAGATAAAGCGCTAGATTAAGCGATAATTCCCTATAAAGTACCTAATAGGCTATATTTTGCATAAAGCTGTTATAAGTGCTTAGGAGGCTTTGCCCAAGGAATTTTTAAAGAAGTTAGCACGCTTAATGCCGTAAAGGCTAGCTGCTATTAGAGCGTCCTAAGGTAGATATATAAGGTATTAAAGCCACTAATAAGTACTAACTTTTATATATTATTTCCTATACAATTTAAGTATCTTTAGTTTCACTTAATGTCTTGGTCTCACACAACCTGTCTGATTGGACCTTCAACCCTGCTTTGTACTAGTGGCTAATAAAACAGCGGTTAGAGTGTGCAATTTAGAACCTTGGAACAGACAGTTGGCATGGCGCCTGCACGCGCATCGATTGATCGACTGATTGATCAACTGCCCAGGTGATTTGACAGGCTCTCTCGTCTCCGACATGTCGTCGCGCTTGCCGCCTGGGTAGTCTCGAGCCTCGGGGCAGACGAGAGTAGGCAGGCAGGAGCCATGTACGTCCCCCATACTCCGTAGTTGGT